GCTAGGGTTTATTGAGGACCAGTGGAGACTCCAATGTTTGCTTAAGCTCCTGGAAAGCCTTCTTACATTCATCTCCCTGATGAAAAGTTTGGCTGCCCCTGAGAACTTTGAAGAAGGGGAAGCACTTGTTCGCTGCTAGGGACACAAACCTGTTTAGGGCAGCCACTCGGCCGGTCAACTTCTGCACCTCTTTCTTGTTCCTTGGGGGCTCCATGGAGGCCAAGACCTGTATTTTGTTAGGATTGGCCTCTATCCCCCTGTGAGTTATCATAAAGCCCAGGAACTTTCCCGACGCCACTCTGAAGGCACATTTAGCTGGGTTCAGCTTCACCCTGTACTTCCGCAGGGTGGTGAATACCTCCTCCAAATCTGATATATGTCGGTCTACCTGCTTGCTCTTTACCACCATGTCATCCACGTAGGCCTCAACATTTCTCCCAATCAGTTCAGCAAAGACTTTGTTGATGAGTCTTTGATAGGTTTTTTCAAACCAAAGGGCATGACTTTGTAGCAATATATGGCGGAGTCTGCCATGAAAGATGTCTTTTCTTGGTCTTCCTCGGCCATAAGGATTTGGTGCTACCCGAAAAATGCGTCCAGGAAGCTGTACCTGACGTACTGTCCACGAGGTCGTCGATCCTGGGCAACAGGTAACTGTCTTTAGGGCATGCCTTGTTGAGATCGGTGAAGTCAATACAAACCCTCCACTTGTTGTTGGCCTTCTTTACAAGAATGACATTGGCAAGCCAGTCGGGGTAATGTACCTCCCGAATGAATTGAGCACTGATGAGCTTGCCAACCTCTTCGCGAATTACTTCTCGCCGTTCAGGCACGAAATGCCTCTTTCTCTGCTTGACGGGTTTGGCTTCAGGGCTGATGTTAAGTTTGTGAACTACGACATCGGGGTCAATACCCGGCATGTCCTCCACCTTCCATGCAAAAACATCAATGTTCCGGGAAAGGCATTCAACAAGCTTGGCACTTAGTGTGGCGTCAAGGTCACGACCAGTGGTCACGGTCTTGCCATGCTCGAGCTCCACTTCCTCAATTCTTCCACTAGGACGAGCCTCCCCCGCTGCTCGAGGTCAGGCTCGGGTACCGAGAGCTCCATGACACCTTCACCTATTCCCCGAATGCTGATAATGTAACATTGCCTGGCAGCTGTCTGATCCCTGCGGACTACCTCGACGTCATGGCTCGTAGGGAATTTCATGGTGAGGTGGAAGATGGACACGATGGCCCTGATTTTGTTGAGCAACGTCCTCCCTAGGATAGTGTTGTATGCCATCGAGGCCCGAACGATCTGAAAAGGTGTGACCTCGGCTACCTATCTTTGATCAGATCCCAAGGTCAAGGGTAGTTTGACGACACCTTCTGGAACGATTATTCCTCCACCAAATCCCTGAAGAGGAGTCTTTACTGCTTTGAGCTTTTCAGCTGGAATCCCCATCTTAATGAAGGCCTCATGCGAGAGTATGCTTGCTGCACTCCCATTGTCAATCAAAATCCTCTTCACTTCGAAATTAGCTATGACCGTAGAAATGACCAACGCATCATCATGAGGGTATGATATCTCTTCCAAATCCCTGACCCCGAAGGTAATGTCCCGAGGTTATCCCGAACCATTCCTGAAGCAAGGTTGTACTGCCGAGCATATTGCTTGCGCCCACTATTCGAATCTCCTCCCGAGGCAATGCCTCCTACTATTACATTGATGGTCCCTGCTATGGGTTGAGTCCCGCCTCTGGCCTCCGAGGCCCTTCTCCTATCCCGATCATTCCTCTGGTGTTTGTCATTACTAGTGTAGGACCCGATGAATCCCCTCTTAATCAAGGCCTCGATTTTCCTCTGCAGGGCCTTACAGTTCTCTGTAGTGTGCCCGTGGTCCCCGTGGAAGTCACAGTACTTGTTGAAGTCTCGTGAGTCTGGTGGGGACTTTAGTCTGGAGGGCCACTTCAACTCCTTTATATCTTTGATCTCCATCAGAATGTTTGTCATGGAAGTGTTCAACCGGGGGAAAGATGTCGATGGCATGTCTTGCCTCGGTCTGCTCTGCCGAATGTCCTGCTGAGAACCCAAGTCATGAGGCCGTTTATGCTCGGGCTTGTCATGTATCGGGCCAGCTTTCCTTATATTCATAGTCTCTTCCATATTTATGTACTTTTCTCCTCGGGTTAGGAGCTCAATCACTGACTTTGGTGGGGTTTTGGATAATGACATCTTGAAGGCCTCACACCTTATGGCATACATAAGGGCAGAGACCACCGCCATAATGTGAAGATCGGGTATTTGCATCTTTCTTTGTTGAACCTGGTCATGAAGTCGCGCAACGTCTCATTCTGCCCTTGACGAAGCTGCATGAGGGAAGCTGATGTCTTCTGGATGAGCTTGCTGCTTGCAAAGAAGGCGGAGAATTTGTCTACTAGGTCTGAGAAGGAAGCAATACTATTGGGTTCTAGAGTTGAAAACCAATCCCGGGTGGTGTTTGTTAGAGTTTGCGGGAAAGCCTTGCACATCACTTGATCTGGTGCAACTTGCAAGTTCATGACGTCGATGTACACGTTGAGGTAGTTGACAGGGTCCGTCGTCCCGTCATACTCCTTTATGCGGGGGTATTTGAATCTATCAGGCAAGGGGAATGACAACACATCTGCTGTGAACGGAGTGTTGGGGGTGAAGCCTGTTGACCCCCTAGCACTCTGAAGCAAGCCTGCTGTAATGCCCTCCTGGATTATTCTGGCTAGATCTCCAGGTTCCATTGTTACCGACCTCGGGACCATGTAATTAACCCCCGAGGTCCCCATTCCTCTGTTGTCATTAGTGGGGCGTGGGACCCGATCTCGACCATCGTCTGTGAACCCAACAACGGGTTCCGGCGCATGTTACGGATGCATCTCTCTTTGACTCAGTAGTTGTGTCAGGGTGAGGACCTGTTGACGGAGTTCTTCAAAGGCTCCAGGCGTAACGGTTGTTGGTTGAGGTGCTGGAATCTCCGACGACTCGTCCTGATGAACAGGGGGTTCTTCAGGAAGGTTCGGAGCAGATGTATTTGCTGGTGGAAGACCTGAGTGTGTGGTTACCATGGCTTTTGGTAGCGTTTCCCACAGTCGGCGCCAATGATGCTACCAAAAATCGTACATGGCTGTTTTCGATCTTGACAACTGTTGATGAGCACGAATGTGATCTTCTGGTACCTGAAACAAAGGCGGTGAAATATGCTCTCGTCGCTCCTCCGATGCTTAAGTCAGATAGGGAATTTTATGCGTAAGGCTATATGCTGTAAAATAATGTTGAACGTACCTGAATATTGAATTGGGAGTCCATATTTATAGAGCTAGGTAGTAGAGTCCTAGTCGAACTGTGTAGTTTATTCCTGATAGAACTGTAATTGATCTAGCGCCTTTATCTCTAAGAGTCCTACCAAAATTAGTTTTTAGGATAGTCCTTAATGGGGTAGGACTCATCTTTCTGTCAGTCGTGACCTTTTAGGACTTCTTAGTAAACGTCATGGGAATGGGATGCCCCGAGGACTATGAAATACCTCGAGGACCTACAACGACATGAGCTGTAATACGAGTCCTCGAGGACTAAGGAACACCTCGAGGACTACTATCGTTCTCGAGGACTAAACACCTCGAGGACTTCTACTACAATTGTATGAAAGGAAGGCTGAGTGGAGTCCTCGAGGAAAGCTTGGGTCCGGGGGCCTCGAGAGAACCCTCGACGCTGGCAGCATAAGGATAACCCTCGTTCCTGTTAGGCCTCGGTCAACCAGAATTTGCCATATCAGTTTCTAAAACTTTTTGTAACATGGTTAAATTAGAAATTTTCTACTTGTACATCAACCAATGTACATAAAGGTCTACACCCCCCTCACATGGGGGGTGGGACCCGCTGAAATAATTTTTTTTATTCGAGCGGGTCCCACCTCCCATGTGAGGGGGGTGTAGACCCTTATATATGGGGTGATGTACCCCTAACAATGCTCGTTAAATTATTAGAGATATTTATATCATTTAATTGGTCAAAAAGAGAGTACACAAATTACCACCATATTGACAATAAACACTTTAATGTCAAAATAAGTAACTTTTTTCTTTTACCTCCTCGACTTAAAAATAGAGCTTGTGCTATTGCACCAAGTTGCAACTAATGGTTGCACTATGAGAGGAGAAATAATATAGAACATATCTACTATGCTACAAGCTAAAAAAAGGTTTCCTCACATGCCCTAATTATGGATTGTCATTGTCGAAAAAAATACTTGAAGATTCACAGAATTAGCGCGTACGTTACGTACCACTTATGTTTGGCATGCTAAACTAAATACGAGTCGAAATGAATCATAATGAACAAAATTTGTACGTGATCACATCCAAATTTTTCAATGCAGCAAACTCTCTCCTTTGGAGATGGCTAGATACCAATATTACACGCTTTAATGCAGAAACAAATGTATAAATATAATATCTTAGGAATTTAGAGCCTTTAGACCAATTCCTTTGAAAAGAAATTACACGATTGATTAATATATTGTCAAGTGAATTTAAATTCATGTCCAAATTCTATACAAGAAAAATACAGAGAGGCAAGTGAACGAGGAAGAAACCTCCTCCAATCCAATGACACTTGATTGGTCCTCAAAATTTGTTACAGTATTTCATCAATGGAGATACTTAAACTAATCACTGCCACTAAATTGAAGCTAACAAATCCTTAGCCTAACACAAGAAAGTAAATTCGGCAAGTGGGGAATTCTACTTGGTTGAATGAAACATCTCGGATCTTAAAATATAAATATCAAAACTGAAAAATGCAAAAGAAATCATAAGCACATCATTCAGAATGTGACATTGTTTGGCCAAAATTTCAGCATCAGTTTGCTTTCATCTTCCTCACATTCATTTTTTCGTAGATCGACTTTTGTCTTTACCATTGCTTGGTTTTTGTCCCTTGCGCTTATGGCTTTCCACTTTTTCATGGGGATTAACATCCTGAAATTAGATAGGTTTGATGCTCACACCAGTTCTCTTTACCACCTGTCCATAAGTAGCCAAAACCTGAGCTACACGTACTAAAATGAAACTTAGAGCATGCCAAGTTAAAGCTTGAAAAGGAAGAAAGTTCATCTACAAACATATCCTTCGATTAAATTAATTTTAAGTGAAAAGAGTTATTTTTCATTTTATTAAGAACAATAAGTTAAAGTGTAAACTTATAAGTAAACTTTTTTAGCTTAGCCAAGCATGCCGTTAATTTTCTCAACAGCTCCATTTCGTGAAAAGAAGAAATATGTCATTGTTATGCAACTAAAAGCTCCTTTTATATTCAACACTGATAGTTGTGAGTGATCATAGGAGTATGGATGCAATAAGATTTAGAGAAGAAAACATAGAAAAGAAAAAGAAGACAAATGCTCCAAAAGCGAACCTGAGGACGATTAAGAGCTCCAACTGCTGTGACAGGATTAAATTCAGGTCCAATTGGCATCCGAATACTCTGTTCAAAAACTTCCTTCGATGTGTAGGGATAAGGCAGAGTCCTTGTGTGCAGTTTTTCAGCCTAAAAGAACAAAATAAATCAGTGTAAAGCAAAACGTGAACTACGATACATATGAAAAGTGTACAAATGCAGGATTTCCTTGAATAAACAGTGGAACATGTATGGTAAGTGTGACTCGAGAATGCACGCCCTCACACCATTCTCATGAAGAAGCCACTAAGCCTACTCATCTACTTGGGTAAGAGCACCGACCAAGATGGATAATCCTATCAATTACAATGAGGTATCTAGTGTCACAGGGGCGGATCCAGCACCTGGCCGGCCCCCGCGGCCGCCCGTACTGGATCCGCCAGGTGCTTCACTGCTTCTGTCAGTTCTGTGCTTCAGCTTTCAGTTCAGGCAGCCATCGCCCTTCAGTCCAGCATCGGGAATGGAGAAGAAGGCCAGAAGCCCAGAAATTTTTTGATTCATTCCCTTTGTTTTGGCAGTTTGGGCCTTTTTAAAAAAAGAATTAAAGCCCAAACCAAACATAAATGAATGGGCCCAATGCCCCAATCAATTAGCCAAGTCCCAGTCCCAGTTGGCCAGTTCGCAATTGCACACACCCAATTGCAAAATTGAAATCGGCTGAGGAGAGAAGCTGAGGAGGGAACGACCGAACGAGTACGATGGTTGAGACGGTGTGGTCTGGTGGATGCTGCTGTGTGGTATGGCTGTGTCGGTGGACGGTGGTGAGTCTGGTGACTTGTGACTCGGTGAACAGTAAGAGATGGTTTCCATTTCCGTTCGGTTTTTTTCTTTGTTTATCTGATTTTTTTTCTTTTTTGTGAATTTTTGATTTATTATTGAGAGACTGAGAGTCTGAGACTATGAGTTGATGTCTTGATGAATTATAATTTTGATTTGTGAATTGTGACATGCGAAATGTGAATTGTGAGATTTGGGAATTTAGGGTTTTAAAAAATTAGGGATAAGTGAAAAACATTAATGGTGAAGAATGAAGATGTTTGGCTCAATTAAACCATGACAATTTGACGGTTTACGTGGAAAAAAATATTTTTGTAAAACTTGATCAAGATATTTGACCCGAAGAATGCAGTTGTCTAAGTTTACTGTTACAGCATAGGGTTGTATTTTTTTTTTTAGTATTTTGTGTTGTATTGAAATATATTTTCATATGTACGTACTTTTTACGTTTTAGTGCATTTATATATGTATCGAATTATATTTTTGACTATTACGATCGTTGATTATCAATGGTTAAGGTCATCGGTCAACGGCCCCGCCCTAGCTGAACCGAAAAGCTGGATTTGCCCCTGTCTAGTGACAAAGAAAGTGAATGTAAAAAATCAAAGTTGGGAGGATAAGTGTTGCACCTCATTTCCCATTCTTCTGAGAAGAAAACCTATTTCTTTCCTCATGTTGATATCATGAATGGATAACATGTAAAAAAAATTAGGCTTTCTCAAGTAGATATGTTTTTTCCAGAATAATACAGTTTTTTGTTGTTCTATTCTATCGCATGTAGATATGTACTGGAAATATGCCACGGATCATTAGAAAAGAAGTGAAATTAACTTCCCACCTTATTCTTCTCTATGTCCTATTTCCCAACAAAAAACATTGGAAATCAAATTTCCTCACTCCTACTTCTTCTCTGCCTTACTTTTCCAACAAGTTGTCTCTCTAGCTAATCATATGTTTAGCTAGATATGAGTAGAACATGAATTCTATTTTTAAAATTTCTAAAAGCGAAAGAAAAGAAGTGTCATGCCATCAGAAAGTGGCATCCACCTTGGTT